TTATAATATCTTCTGATTCACTTCGTTACGGGAACAAAGCCAGTTATTCATGTTCTTGGGACGCGCCGGACTTTAGTGTTCCGGTGTTTTCATGGTTGTATCTACTGTAGATCCTGGTGCACAGGAGTTGCAGCGGTTTTACGAGGTTGTGGCGCGCTGGTCCCATTAAAAACTAAATATGTATTGTACATTTTGCTTGCCTTTTGGTGTTCAAAAACGTAATATTGTGACTAAATGAAATTATCATAGTGATGTAGACATTTGATAAGGAATTAAATATGGCTTACTCACGGTGATGTCGACGGATTTATGTTTTTGCGTGTAGATTATCGTGCCGCGGTATGGGTGGAAAGTCCGATATTTTGTGGAATCACTGCTGTTTATATTTTTTTTCTTAATATTTTTTTTTATTTTTTTTTTTTGACGGTGTAAAATTTAGAATGTTAGAAATGTGTTATAATAAAGATTTGTATAAAAATTTTATAGTTTTTGTTAGTTATTTCATTGATTTCGGAAGATTTTCAGTAAAATTTTGCTGATTTTTCGTATTTTTAGATTTGTAGGGAAATTAGGAATGAGCCTATTATCAAGTTCTTAGAGCTTGCAAGCTTCATACTCTAAATAATACATTACATTTTGAATCTTAACAGTTTGACTGTAAGATTAAAAATCCAGTCAAACAATAGGCTAGCTTCATCTGCTGGTACTGTAGCTTCATTCAAAAATAGAATCATCCCAATTGGCGCGCATGTCAACATAAAATCAATCATGGCGGCAGCTTTCCTAGTTTACGTGACATTTTGCCAAATATGGCAGCTACAATAACAATAAAAATGGCTAATCATCGTTCGTCGACATTATTTTTTACATAACTTTAGATATTTTGTGATAATTTCAAGTGTGTGATAAGATAATATTCTTATGTTGTGTTCTCTTTGCGTCCGTCCATTTTCCCGCGTCATCGTGAGTATTTGAATTTGGAATTTTATTTTTTTTATTACAATATTTAGTTTATGCTCTATTTTAGTTTTTTAGCGGAATTTTTCCGTTTTGTTTCGTCTGTCGTGATTTGTGGTAGATTTTTTAATTGTTTTTTATAAATATGGTGGACTTTTTCTACGATTTGCGGATTGGTATGTATGTTTTGGTTTTGTGAGCGTATATGTCATTGAGTTGGTGGTGTTAGGTTCGATTCCGGCGTTTAGTTTGTAGGATTGTAATTATCCTTTTAGAAGGGACTTACTCCATCGGTGGTTGAAGCCGCAAGCGCGTTTACCGACTAAGGGATGTTGGGTTCGATTTCCTTTTTTAGAATCTTATCCTATTGCCAATATAAGCTCGTCCTCATACATCATAGTTATTTGTTATATTTAATACGTACAACATAATTCGCATAGGTTATAAAACATTATTTTCACTCAGATTTTAACTTTGCGTTTAATTATTTTATTGTATTCCAACATTGTTCTCTTTTATTGTCATTTTCATGAGTAAATATAATTCTAAAATTGCATCATATTAAAACATCAGAACTTATCGATTCGTGGACTAAGATCATACTATATGATGATGCAATTTATTATAATTTATACATACCTATGTAGACTTGCGTAAGCATAATACGAAAGTCTCCCCGGAAGTCTAAGACGCCCGCTTCTGTCATCGCCCGGAAGACACGATGGAGCATACGGTGGCGGTGTGCCCTGCGTGGGCTGAGCACCGCCGTGTCCTCAAGGATGTGATCGGCGACGGCGACCTCTCGCGTCCGGCTCTGGTTCAGACCATGGTACGGAACGAGGGGACTGTGATGCCGTCCCCTCCTTCTGCAAAGCAGTCATACTAGCTAAGGAGGCGGGCGCGTGAACGAACGAACCACCTCACGCCCCAGCCGTCGCGAGAGACGCTCTGGGCATCGGCGATCTCCGGCCACCGTAAGCACGGGCCTGGGGACGGCGAGCACGGGTGAATCTCCGCCCGACCAGAACCAGACCCGAGCGTACGACGCGTCGTATGCCACGCGCGCCTCAAAGAGCCATCAGAAACATATGGGCTCAATAGGGCTGATGCGGATACGAAGCTGCGGAGAACTTAACGGGTTACTGGGGCTCCGGCTGGAAGTGGATCCGCCTCGCCCGCGCAGGAGAAGTCATGGATTATATTCCCTCGTCAAAAAAAGAAAGATACCTCCTTAAGGAGGTCATACATGCTAGGTTTTGAATGATGGTTGTAGCCATGCATGCATAACCGACAGGCAAGGAGAACCTAACGGGTAACCGGGGCTCCGGCTCGACGTGCAGGAGAAGGAACGGGGTGGTTTATAGTCAGTAAGAGTCTGACACTCCCTCCCGCCTCACCCAGGCGTGAGAAGTCATTCGATGATTTTCCCCCCTTAAAAAAAAGCCCTAACGTGTATGTGATGAAACTGTACAGTTATCGGTGCATGTACGTGCCAAACCTAACGTGTGTGTGTGGTATGGAACTCGGTTATGCTTGTCGGTTTTGCATGCCTCCTGAAGGAATGGTTACTCTGGGAGACGCCTGATCGCACGAAATCGCATCACAGCAATTCGCATCGCATCGTAAATCTCTGCGTTGCAAATTGCGGCGTGAAACAACTGAAGCGTTTTGTGGAGTCGGTTTTTTTATGCAGTTTGTAATACAATTTACATATGTATCGATTTCAAGCACTACTTTCTACTGACATAACTTAGATATAATTCTAGCATTCAATGACGAATTGCTATGACTAATATATCAATCATATATTTAATCAGATTACGACAATGAAATACAAGATAAAATCGAACTTAATGCTTCATTGTTTGTGTTGAAATTGGGTTGGCATGCGTTTGTCTTATGTCTTGTGTCGTATGTTTCTGTACAAAAAAACAGACTTCGTCGTTTTTGGGAAGTCGGTTAAAGAAAACACGGCCAAGTTCAGTATCATTTTAAATATATGATCAAAGGACAACAAATATTTCTACATAGAAACTCCAACTCTATTTAAAACACAATAGGTATAAAATTGCAGCACCCACTTATAGATAGTTCAACGTCTTATGTACTTATCGCTGAATGACATAACAATTCTTCAATATTCACTTAGCAACAACAACTCATATAGTGTAGAGATTGTCCAGTCAACTGATGATAGCGTGGACTGTCCAAGCGATACGTACTTAGGTATCGTCATGAGCTAATGGTAACATGTAAACAGTGGCTCATGAAGTGTAGGGATTGTCCAGTCAACTAATGGTAGCGTGGACTGTCCAAGCGATACGTACTTAGGTATCGTCATGAGCTAATGGTAACATGTAAACAGTGGCTCATGAAGTGTAGGGATTGTCCAGTCAACTGATGGTAGCGTGGACTGTCCAGGCGATACGTACTTAGGTATCGTCGTGAGCTAATGGTAACATGTAAACAGTGGCTCATGTAGTGTAGAGATTGTCCAGTTAACTGATGGTAGCGTGGACTGTCCAGGCGATACGTACTTAGGTATCGTCGTGAGCTAATGGTAACATGTAAACAGTGGCTTATGTAGTGTAGAGAGTTAACTGATGGTAGCGTGGTTAAAGGTCGCATAGACAACCGCTAGATGCAGATCGCTTCCTAAGTTCCAACTGACTGACGTGGACCATTGATGGAGGCCTTAGTTTAGCTGTGGACGTATTCTGATCCATAGAATGATGACATTGAACTAATTTAACAGTGTACGTCTTTTAGATTTTGACTGCCTCGTTGGCCGAGAGGGTTGCGAGTGCGACTGTCGGGCAAGGGGTCTCGGGACAAAGATTTACTGAATTTATAATAAAATTCGCATAGTCTGATCACCTCCTATTATATGGGACTCGTCGCGGAGAACCTAACGGGTAACCGGGGCTCCGGCTCGACGTGCAGGAGAAGGAACGGGGTGGTTTTTAGTCAGTAAGAGTCTGACACTCCCTCCCGCCTCACCCTTAAAAAAAATTATATGGGGCTCGTAACATAAATAGTGAAAATTGTGCGTTACATTGTACAGTGGTATTAAGTGCCGTAATATGCACCTTTGCGTACCCATTCGGGGATAAAAGCCGTGATGTTATGTGAAGTCTTCTAGTTATTATTACGACGATGATGAATTCACATATGAACACCAATTAAACCTTAAATAGATACAAACACGAGATCATGACGAAAAATTGATACGACAAAAGTGATGAAGCGATTTTTTCATTTCATTCATTATTTTTTTGATACGCACTATCATTGGTTGGTGTTATCGCATGAATCTTGTATACAGGCGTTGTACAGAGATAATAGTATAAATATAAGAGACTTTGTGATATAATATTAGTATTATTTTTAGTATTGAAAGTGTTGGAAACAGGCTGAGATCGAATACTCGGCGACACGGCGATTTGTTCGGGAGTTTCTCTCTCTAGCCTGTTTGGATTTTGATCTTTATTGCCAACGGGTAGCTGTTATATTTGAACACCATGTATCCTTTGTTCGATGGGCCTGTCATGATGGGAGACCTGTGGGCGTATTATCCGCCAGTATTCAGCGCGCAACATAATGCAGGCATGTTTAAATCACAATTTACTTTTAATGTGATTTGAAATGATATTCTTTTGTTTTTTTTTTTCGAATTCTTTATTTGATTTCCTAAAATCTAATGTCTTTGTCGATTTTTTGTATTGGTTTTTTTTTTCTATGCTGTGCAAGAAGAGTTATCTTCTTATGTCTAGCTGTTCTTGAGATTTGCGCGTACTGAACATACTGACGGTGTATTTTTCGAACTGTTCTGTATATTTTTTTGTTTTAAACTTTTTTTATTATTATGGTATTCTCCGATGACTTAATTAAGTAGTCAAATGTAACTTTCATACTAATTTAGCCCTGACAATAGCGGATATGAAAACACAGTTATGAAAATGACAGACGTTGCGCGTTTAAGTCTTTTGTTCGGACCTGAAAATATGTATAATAAAATTAAATCACATGTTTGTTTGTTGCAGGAATGTACACGATGCGTATGCTGGACGGCGCAGGACCGCACCATGCTCCTCATCACACCCACTCACACATGATGATAACAGGTGAGTCATCATATTACGTCACAATCAGTTATCAACACACTTCAATTTATACATTCACAAAAATCCCTCTATTCATATAGGAATTTCGAAGGAAATCTTCTCCAGCACTTCCCCAGACTCCTCCATATATAATGAATGCTACACACCATACAATTTACCTGTACTACTACTGTGTGCAGTTTTACCTGTACAGTCGAAATGTACAGTTAAATTGTAAGGTGTATAGCGCAATCAGTTGAACTGTACAGTTTAAAGACAGTGTGGACCTACGATTTAATGTACAGTTCGACAGTAACACAATCTGACAGTTCCTCTCGCCTCGTTGAGTCATTTTATGATTTTTCCTATCTTTAAAAAGTCATAGTGAAAATTATCCTATTTTAAAGATGATGACAAAGATGACAAAACTTTATTTGGACATTATTCATTTATGGAAAAGAGGAACTGGAACTGTGCCACTGATGCCAGATGCATATACATCTCTTTATGGCAAGAATTGTGCAATAATGGCAATTAGAGTATATAATAAAATTCCTCGATCTATTAGAGAACTACCTTTGCGTCAATTTAGAATTAAGTTGAAAGCATGGCTGATTGAAAAATGTTTTTACAGTATTAAAGACTTCATTGACTATGGAATTGTAGAACGAAATAGATTTTAATATTATGACATGTAATTTTACAGACATAATGTATTTGACATAATGTATTTTGCCTTGACATGTATTTAAAAAATTAATTTGACATTTTGGAATCATTATTTTGACATTACGTAATAATTAATCAATGAAATTGGATTTATATTCTATATTATATAAAGTGCCTACTATAAACAAACATTTGCATGCCTGGAAAAGGTGGAATACACTGTACTGTTGAAAATTAGACTAAGATCCATTGTATCACATGTTCCTGCGAATAAATTTCTATTTCTATTTCTATTTCTATTACAATTTACTTTTAGCTTACTGATTAAACGTATTAAATTTTGGGAGTATAGTATTAATTGTTAATCAAAAGTGGCATGACCATTTTTGATTAAAAATCTTTTCTAATTGTCCACGTTTCACACGACTACGTGACTCAAATCACGTCGTCCAACAGTTCACTGCTGGGGTTTAATACTTGTGTAGTCCCTCAGTCGTGTATTTGACACCTGCGGAAAGAATAGCGGTGGTGACATATGTATTTGTAGTCTAAGTGACACACCCATATTTTTTCTGCTTCTATTAACGTAGCTTCATAAATGAATAGACATATTGTTATAATCTATTTGATCTAATTGTTTGTCATTATATTACGGATATGAAGTCATCATGAATGTACATTTTTTATGTTTAATCCGGAAAAGTTTCAAAGATTACTTTTGTCTCCTTCCTTGATAAGAAAACCGGTTGAAAGTGATTTTTAAATGGCTTAATGGTCTTATAGACATCAATGTTTTAAAGTCAAAAGTCTAAGCAGTTATTTCAATTAAACCATAATAGGGTAGATGCCTAATTATTATTTTAATGTCCGTCTAGTAGATTATTTTAAATCATTAGACACGTATTTTTTATTTTAGGTGCTCGTTTTAAAACGCTCAGTAGTCGCATTTGCGACTACTTGGCCAACGAGGCAGCCCATCACGAGATACCTAGGTGATTTCGATTAAATATTAAATTGTTGTTTTCTCATGTTCTAGAGAGAGATTCGGCCTCGGACAGCGCCGTGTCGTCGATGGGTTCCGAGCGTGTGCCATCTCTGTCTGACGGGGAATGGTGCGATGGCAGTGATTCCGCCCAGGAATTCCATAGGTGAGCGAAACATGTTATTTTGTCTATTACTAGTTATAAGCCAAGGTTTCCTCATGATGTTTTGATGATATAAAAAGGGAAAAAAACATTTAGTTTGAGTTTTCATGTGTGTAATTAGAATACAGATATAGAACACTTAATTTTAGGTAGGCTAAATGAAGCTAGAACATAACATAACTAAACATCATGCCTTTTATCCCCGAAGGGGTTGGCAGAGCTGCACATTACAGCACATAATGCCACTGTACAATGTAACACCCACTTTTCACTTTTTATTTTTATGAGTCCCATGTAATATATCCCATGAAACTAGAGTATCTACTAAATCAATGCTAGACTGTACAGTTGGCGCGGTGGCTGGGCAACTGGCTACCGCGCAAAGTGTCGCGTGTTCGATTCCCGCACGAAACAACTCTGCGTGATCCACAGATTGTTGTTCCGAGTCTGGGTGTCATGTGTATGTGAACTTGTATGTTTGTAACCCATGACACAGGAGAAAATCCTAGTTTGGGGCAATGCTTTTTTTTAAAGAGCACATAAAAATGAAAATCTCTCTTAAAATTTATTTCTATCTCTTTCACACTACAACAGTAAGACAAGAAGAAGAGATAAGTAAGACTGAGATCTAATATGTAAATCAAGCTCAATAAAACAATAGATACCATAACAAAACAATGCGAAATCATTCAATTACAACAACTAGGGGTACCCCGAAACTTATCGGCGTATTACGTAGAGTTTATCTCGAATTCGAACGTGATGACTTGATCGTTTTCGAGGTCGAAACTTATCGGAGGGAAACTCGGTGAAAAGAAATCTGTCGACTCATAGTATCTTTTTGAAATGACATATGAGTTTTTAGCTTATCTCTAAAAGATTATGTTATTATGCCAATAAATATTGTTTGGAGATGACTTTTCAAATTTTTATTTTTTTTCTGTTTCGTCACACAGTTCGAAATTCCGGCCGTATGATAATTCATTTGGACGAGAACGGTCTGCGCCTCATCAGCCACAGAAGAAGCATCATATGTTTGGAAAGAGGTGCTTCCAGGTAAATATATCATCTTTATTATCATACGAGTTGTCCTTTCTACAAACACACACCATCATATTAGCTACAAAATGTCTTTTCTGTATACACACACCATCATATTAGCTACAAGATGTCCTTTCTATAGACACACACCATCATATTAGCTACAAGATGTCCTTTCTGTAGGCGCATACGCCATCTTATTAGCTACAAGATGTCCTTTCTGTAGACACATACGCTATTATAGTAGCCACGAAATGTCCTTTCTGTAGATACGCCATTATAGTAGCCACAGAATGTCCACTCCTGTAGACACATTTCGCAGTAATTCTAAGCAATGAGTTCTAAGTTCAATTCTTGGATATAGCAAACAGTTTTTGATGTGTTTATAGAAACATTATTACCCCTATTAGTACGCAATTATAATTTTATCTTCATTATTTACATGTCAACTTTTCCAGAATTTACTTCGTACATAGATAACTGTTATCACTTTGATAAAACATGAAGAACCTTTAAATTTTTGTTCGTTAACAATGATAAAAATAATTATACATTTTACCTTAATTAAATACTTATCGAAGTTTAAAACACCGTGAAATCTAATTCGTTTTCGATTTCGATTGTCACGAAGTAAAACGTTTCTGTCTCGGTAATACAATAGTTTTACAAAGAAATGAAATGCTTAAAACCAAAAAACAACTGGTGAACCATTGCAAGCAAACTTCGAAAGCTCATACAAACTCATAGTACATTGTGAAAACATCAAACAATGTAATTCTCGAAGAGGTATTTCTGGTCGGGTGGCACGTGCGATGCGATGCATTAAAAGTTTCTAGGTATATATATATGGATAAAGAAAGATTTATTAAGAATATTAATTAATAATAACATCAATAAATATGTTATCATAATATCAACTAGAATTAATTAAAATATACAGTTCACTTAATAAAACCATTTTTGAGACATGTTCAACTAATTTCGGGCCACATTAGAACGCTTATTTATAAACACGATAGTTATACTTAAAAATAAGGTAATCTTTCTTCCACTTGTAGGTATTAATTTTTTTTTTCTTGCAGGAGCAACCAGCTCCTACCCTAGATCCTGTCGGTAGACCTGGAGTCGTGAAGTACGAGTGCCCAGAACAGACATACCACCATGATAACATGCATATGCATAATGGTAAGTTCACCATGCATTCTTACAATAGATTTGCTAACTGTGATGAAAAAATCTCAGTAGTAGCACAGAGTCTTGAATTGTGCCCGATATATGGCAATAGGCTCACTCCCTATTACATGGGACTCGTAACATAAATAGTGAGAAGTGGGTGTTACATTGTACAGTGGCATTAACTGCCGTAATGTGCACCTCTGCCTACTCCTTCGGGGATAATTATGTAATGTTATGATATATATATGGATTTGCAAGTAATCTTAACATTTTGTGTTAAATTTAGTTCCAGACTTCACTCCTAGACCACAGCTGGCGCCACCGCACGTGACCAACCTCCACGCCCCAGCGCTGGACCTCAACACTGCACACTCCAGCCATGCCCTGCTACAGGTATGTAATATATTTGAACAATTTTGTATGATTTTTTAAGGAATTAATCAAAAGTGGCAGTGCCACCTGTAACTAAAATTCGACTGTTCAAAGTCAAATCGTTTGTTTTAATTAGACTAAAAAGGCTCTATCGGTACCTTATAAACAGCGATCTTTAACCATCTTCTTCTACTTCGACTTATTTAAGTGGAAGCTTTAATTAAATGTGGCATTACCACTTTTAATCAAATGTGGCATTACCACTTTTAATCAAAACTACTTATACCATCGTCGATTAAAATTCACTATACGGTACACATTTTTAACAATATGTAACCTGTTTTTTTTTCTATGCGACATACTTAAGGCCTTTTTTAAACAGTTTTATTCAGCTTGCTTCATTTATTTGTTTCAGTCTTTAGTAATTGTAATTTCGCCCCCTTCCTGACGACAGATCGATCTGATATTTGGTACACACTCTTAATCTTGATGACCATACAATATAATCTAATGTTCTACAACTACCTCCATTATGGATGAAAGGGCTTGATTGGTAGAATACTCTTTAAAACAATATACTTATTTTTAATTCTTATTTATTTAATTTATAGAGCAATATCCCGAGCCCGGCTCCCCCCCGCTTTGCGTACGGCACCCCGGAGCGCGTCCGCCACAACCACACGTACTCCGCGCCCATCGCTGCCAACGACCAACGACCCGCCGCTGTACGGGACAAGAGAGGTAATTCATATTAATTATTATTATTAATAACAAGATTATTACTGCCTCGTTGGCCAAGTGATCGCAAGTGCGACTGCCGGGCAAAGGGGTCTAGAGTTTGATTCTCGAGTCGGGCAAAGTACTACTGGGTTCTTTAAAACATTCTCAGTAGTAGCACGGAGTCTGGAATTGTGCCAAAACCATCTGGGTACATATTAACAATTGTGTACAGAAAATTACCCATTTTTTATTATCAGTATTTCAAAAATAAGAAACTCTCAACAAATCTATACCAGACAAAGACAAATTTACTTTTCTTGACTTTGACATTTGACCTTGACCTTCAGTATTGACTTTGACCTTCAAATCCTCCATCTTGTTTCCAGTCCGGCGTCTAACAGACGGTAGCATGTCAGACGGTGGATCTTCAGCTACAAGCAGTGGACAGCATCTGTCCAGAGACGAGAAGCGAGCTAAAGCACTAGGTAAGGACGAATACTAATTGAATTTGTACTTTATTTTTCGGTCAATAAGGTTTATTTTTGAGTGCAAACTGTGGTAGTTGGATAAAATAACTTATTGTAGTTATATTTTATTTTGGAATACTATCGAAAAAAATTACTGCCATAATGTGCACCTCTGCCTACCCCTTCGAGGATAAAAGGCGGGATGTTATGTTATGTCTATAGCCTACCGTCTCGGTGAAAAGGTTAAAAGTAATAGCTCTCTTTCTCTTCTTCTTCTGCCTACCCCCTGTTCACACATTAACCTGTCCAAGTGATTGCAGGGATTCCCTTGGAGGTGCAAGATATCATAAACTTGCCAATGGATGAGTTTAACGAGCGCCTGTCCAAACATGACCTGAGCGAGGCACAACTATCGCTCATACGGGATATACGGAGACGCGGGAAGAATAAGGTACGTTGAACGTCAAATGTTGAATGTTTGATAATCAAAAATTGAATCTAAAATTAAAAATGAAAGTCAAATTTTTGACATTTGGACAAAGTTTCAAAGCATTTATTTCAATTAAACTATAATTTTGTATTTTCGGAAAGGCAACAAATACAAAATAAATGTCTATCAGTCAGTCCGTCAGTGAAGCTAGGTGAAGCTGGGTCAATGAAGCTAGGTGCTCATTCCAAAATTTAGAAGAACAAGCAAGAAACTCCCTTAATACTACTACATACAATAAACACTTGACGATAAAAGTTGATCAAAGTTGATATTTTGAAAGTCAAAGTCATAATCAAAGATTGAAAGAATAGATCAAAATGCCGCACGATTCGTGCATTCGTGCACGACGTGAACGCAACGTGTTGCGTGTTCGGTTCCCGCTTGGAACAATTCTTTGTGACCCACCTCTGTCACTGGGAAAAATATATGTCAGTAAACGCACCCACGAGTATCTTAGTATGAATCAATTTTTTTTAAATAAAAGCTAACATAAATATCCAAATCTCCAGGTGGCAGCCCAGAACTGCCGGAAACGCAAACTGGACCAGATCACATCCCTCGCTGACGAGGTCCGCACCGTCAGGGACAGGAAGCAGCGGACGCAGAGGGAACACAGCTCGCTACTAGCTGAGAGGCAGCGGGTCAAGGAACGATTTGCAGCGCTCTACAGACATGTATTCCAGGTCAGTTTGATAACCAAATTAATATGTTTGTAAAAAAAAATTAAATAGAAGTATGTAGGATTCGTAGTAATTGGCATTCCATAGTCTCTGTCTACTCCCTTTAAAGACATGTGTGAAGTTATGTATGTAAAAATTAAAAATATGTTAAAGTATGAAAGTCAATGTCAAGGTCAAATGTTGAATTAAAGTCAGAAGTGGAAAGTCAAAAGTTGTTTGTGATAGTCAAAGCTGGAATTAAATTTTGTAAGTCAAAAATCGTACGCCTACAAACTGAAATCGTCCTTAACTTCATATAATTACATAACAAAACATCACGCCTTTTATCCCCGAAGTGATAGGCAGAAAATACATTACGGCACTTAATGCCACTGTTCAATGTAACACCCACTTTTCACTATTTATGTTATGAGTCCCATGTAATAAGGGGTGAGCCTATTGCCATATACCGGGCATAATTTCAGATTCCGAGCTGCTACTGAGATTTTTTTTAAAAAACCCACTTTGCTGTGCCCGACCGACCCGACAGTCGCACTTGCGACCACTCGGCCAATGAGGCAGTCTCATTAAAGTCGCTATTTCCTCGACAGAACCTCCGCGACCCTGAAGGTAGACCGCTGTCATCCCAACAGTACTCCTTACAGCAAGCCGCCGACGGTAATGTCGTTCTTGTACCGAAAATGCCACAGCACCAAGGTAAGGGAATTTAGTCTTTATATATTTAGTCATAGAGTTCATTTTGCTGTTTTTATAATAACTATCTCTCTTTAAACCGGACATCGAACTTGATAATCGGTTTTTAATCTTTATACCTTATCAAATGCAGGCAGCGCACTTGTAACACCTTTAATGTTGTGGGTGGGTCAGACCACTTACTATCGAGACGTCCGCAACGTCTATACTCATTCGCTTTAAAAAAAAAGTCGTTAATTTATATTTTTCTTTAATTACAGATCACCCAATGAATCGCAGTAATGACGATGATATGGATAGAAAAGCCAAGAGCTACGACCAGTAATTCCGCCTAATCAGTTCCCGATATGGTAAAACACAAACAAACACACAAGACTACAAACAACGCAATAATTGTTAATATACAATTCTAGTAATATAATCTAAAAAAAAACACCCTTTGTTATCTGTGACTACAAAGTCAAACGTCAAAATTGATTTGTTCAAACCATTTTAGATTTTAAAAGCTTAATAATAAATTCTATAATTCAATAACTTATCCGTTATTTAAATAAATGGCTTAAAACATATTATACACCTTCTTTTCATTGCTACTTTTTTTCTAAATACATGTAAATCATAGAGTAAGATAATATTGTTAATGTTAAATGGTTTTATTGAGCTTGATTCTGCCAATCAAGCCCTTTCTCTTGACATCCATAATGGAGGTAGTTGTGGAACATTAGATTATATTGTATGGTCATCAAGATTAAGAGTGTGTACCAAATATCAGATCGATCTGTCGTCAGGAAGGGGGCGAAATTACAATTCCTAATGACCCAAACAAAAAAACGAAGCAGGCTGAATAAAACCGTTTACTAATAGAAAAAAAAAATCAACTGTCATATTCAATTTGCAAATCTGACAGCTGACATAATTGATTTTGACGTTTGGCGGGAAATTTATTCTGCTTACCAATAAAAAGTAATTAGTTATTTAACCGATTAACTTGTGTTACCAATCTGTCGATAGGTTAATGTTTAAAATAATATTTTCGATGTCTCAAAACGAATTAGCTACCTTTTATTTTCTGTGCGTGCATTAAAAACTCCTTTAACATTTCATTTCATTAAAATGGACATAGTTTTGGAATCGACTTTAATATTGAATTCATTATAAAAACATATTTAAAATAATCTTCAGTTCTTATCCGTATTCCCAACTATATAACTATATTTGAAAATACAATGTTGAAATCGATTTCAAAACGAAAATATACTTTTAGAAAATAAAATTAGGCTATTACTTATTTCTTCATTCTTACTATAAATTATTTTTCATATTGAGTAGTCCATTTATCAAGCTATAAGCTATAATGCTATAAAATACCCGAGCGTACGGCGCGTCGCGTTCCGCGCGCGTCTTAAAAAGCCATCAGACTACCACGGATGGGGCCCAATAGGGCTAATACCGATTCGGAGTCGCGGAGAACCTAACGGGTTACCGGGGCTCCGGCTCGGAATGCAAAGGAAGGAACGGGGTGGTTTTTAGTCAGTAAGAGTCTGACACTCCCTCTCGCCTCACCCAGGTGGGAGAAGTAATTCGATGATTTTCCGCGCTTAAAAAAATAGGCTATCAAATATAACGCGATGATCAATAAGAGCCGAGCAGAGCGAGTGAAACCGCGGAGTAACTAGTTAAAATAATATTGCCTAATTTTATTTTCTTTTAGTTAAATTTTCTTTTAAAACAAATGATATAATCCAACTTTGTATAAGTCAGGATTGAAGCAAATCTTATGATTATTGTACACTTTAAATATGATTTTTCCGTAATAGGAGATTTAGTATAAGGAAGTGTTAAAATAAAACTAAAAATAAAGAAGAAAAAATATACATTTGTATGTGATATTTATGAAAGAATTCCATTTATTTTAGTTAAAAATATTAGTGGTTTTTTAAAAAACTTCGAGTGCTGTCGCGTCTATTTTTTCATGGAAGATTTTTTCGCGTTTCCTTTATGGTCGGTGACGCCATGACACTTCTAGTGTTGCAGGTGTACAATCAGGACAATTCTAGGTTTTATTGCTAACAAAAATAGTACTAAAATATACATAAACTCACGACCTTTGTCCATAGTATACATATACTACAGAGCGCCACCTACTACGCTCCTTACATACTTCTTTAGCTTACATCACATTCATACATCTGATGGCATACAGATACTACAAAGCGTCACCTACTACGCTCCTTACATAGTTTTCTAGTTAACATCGCATCAAAAAATCTTCCGTAAAAAAATAGACGCGAATTGATTTTTTTCTTGTATTTTTTTTTTGAAAAAAATTGTTCGTCTATAATTTATGTATGTATGTATGTATGTACGTATGTAGAAAATTTCTTTTTTTTGTCAAACATATGTATAAACAACAAATTTGTTCCACATTAAAAAATATATTTGAGTGAAAAAACTTAAAAAAAAAACCGAAAATGACTGAAAAAGTAACTATCATAATGAAAAATAGATTTTTTGTAAAGATTAAATAAAAAAATGGACGTTTCAAAGCGTCTTTGGTTGCAATAAGTAATTTTAAGGACACAAGCTTTTGTAAAATATCAACGTTTTGCCCTTAAATAAGGTAGAAATAAGTTTAAGTTTAATTTAAATTTATTTAAACAAAAAAATGTTATTTCTTGTTTTACTTTTTTGTAATACTTAGTTCGTAAGTTAGTTCTTAATATAACGTCAGCTTAAAATATTGGTAAAAATTAAATAAATAATTTTTATAACATATAGACGTAAGTTTTTTTTATTTTAAAACATAACTTCTATTTAACAGTTTTTTACTGACTGTCAGATTTGCTGACTGTCAGCAAAATGTCAGATTTCTGACTTAAATGAGTGAAAGTATCGCCATTAATGTAAAAAAATATGTTTTTTTTACTCAATTTGGTGATTTTTCAATTGTGCTTTCTACCATTGTGTAATATGAAGCATTGGGTTAAAATAACTCATTTTAAGGTGTTAAATACTAGTTAATTTTTTGAACCCAATAATTTTGAGCTGATAAAACCACTAATGTTCAAATACTAAACGCCACTCAATTTTAAGACGTTCTCAACAATAGTTCTGTCTCTATAAATTCGTTATAAAATGATAGAGATGGAACGAATTGTTTTAAAATTGAGTAGCCTTTCAGTATTTGAGCGTAAATTAATTATAGTGACTCTATTTTTATTGTTAAGTTAAAACCATTGATAGTAACGATTTGAACTACAATAACTTACTATGCAATAAAGATCAATTTTGTTTGAAACCATTAATTGATTTGCGACCTTATAGACATGATACTTTTATTTGAAAATGAACTTTAATGTTAATGAATTAAGGTTGATAATTGTGTGTATAAGAATGAAGTTTAAGTATATTTTTCTCCTATGGATGATAAGCTAAAATAGCTCTTATGGAAATTGTACTCCGAATTGTTACTATCAACGCATTGTATGTATAAAGATAAAAAATATCTAAAAAATAAATTTATGATATTTGTCGAAAAACGTTTATTTTATTTTTTCTTATTTTTTTTTGTTTTGATCATTTTTTCTGACCCTTGACTGATTTCAAAGTATATATAATATAATTATGAAAAATAAAACCTTATTTCAGCTATTTTTGACAATTTTTCATTGCAAAAATGAAGCGAATTCAACCCAAAATATTGCAAACTTACATGGAATAAAACAAAATCAATAATAACTTCAAAAAAGCAGTAGTTTTTGACAAATATCATAATAATCTTTGCCTACATTAAGTGCATATTAATATTCCACGCATCAATATGAGTACAAACACCACTTAACTGCCCAGCCCCCAAGCGGTTACCAGTGACCCCTCACCACTTACTCCATCATAGACCTTATTTCCAATGTTTAGAGACTACTTTTGTATGGACACATCAGTAGGCTGCGCGCCACGCCGCGACCGCGCACGCTGTTCATGAGGAAGAACCCCTCTGGTTCGAAACTAGTAGAGCTCTTTTCTCAGTATATACACGTGAGTAACCCGCGATTGAATAATGTTGTGGATTTTTCATAATTGGTTATCTATTTTTGGTAAAAACGTCGCAAAATATCAGAAATTAGGGTAGATGACAAATTTTTAGTTTAACTCGTTGAGTACCGTCATTATAGACACAATTAATGTCCGTTCGCGTAGAATGAGTTTTTTTAACACTTAACTTTTTGTTTGTTTGCATTTTCCAACATGGAATACATATTCCGCTAAGAAATGGAATTCCTTGCCAGAGGCTGTGTTTCCCGTCAAATATGACTTGGGTGTCTTCAATGTCCGAGTGAACAGGTTGCTCATAGGTGGTGCTCCATCATCGGCCACATCATCGCTTACCATCAGGCGAGATGATAGTCAAACGTCGACCTATAATGTATAAATAGCCTATTGCCGGAATACTGAAACGATACTCAATTTTAAGTTGTGCTCAAATATCGTGCCATCTCTGTCATTTTACAAAGAATTTTTAGAGATATAACAATACGCACGACTTAAAATTGAGTAGCGTTTGAGTATTCCGACATATGTTACTCTTTAGTACATCAGCTACCTGCCAGTAAAGAACCTGTCAGAATTGGTCTACCCATTTCGGCAAATTAGCCAGTACAAAACAGACAGAGAAAAATTTTTAAATATGTTATTTTGGTATGTGTATGGTATGTATATTCATATGCATGTAGCTAAACTGTAAACACCGCGAGGTCTCAACGAGTTAAACTGTCAAACACCGTGAGGACACCGGTGACCGCAACCTATTGTTCTATAATTGTGTCTATAATGACGGTACTCAATGAGTTAAACTGTCAAACATCGCAAGGACACCGGTGACCGCAACCTATTGTTCTATAATTGTGTCTATAATGACGGTACTCAATGAGTTAAACTGTCAAACACCGCGCGGACACCGGTGACCGCAACCTATTGTTCTTTAATTGTGTCTATAATGACGGTACTCGACGAGTTAAACTGTCAAACACCGCGAGGACACCGGTGACCGCAACCTATTGTTCTATAATTGTGTCTATAATGATGGTACTCAACGAGTTAAACTGTCAAACATCGCAAGGACACCGGTGACCGCAACCTATTGTTTTTTAATTGTGTCTATAATGACGGTACTCAACGAGTTAAATATTACAAACACACACTCCGATTTTATTTATCTGTATAGATTTTATATTATTTTAATTTTTGTAAGTTATTTCGTTTGTTTTAAGTTATTAGGCGACGGGTAGAGCATTTTTAACTTAAGTTTTAAATTAAATAAACCAAGCTATACGATTTCTGGCTGTGGGATATATTTTTAGAAATTACGTCGAGAAAAAAAATCTTTTTCATTTTTTCTTTTTTGTTTTGTCTGATGTACTCCTTTTAAGCAACAGCTCTTAGATTTTATCAACCCCTAAGCTATAGGTGACTTAACAATCTTTTGGTTTTCACCATCGAGTGCCACCTAAACTTAAGAGGTTAGTTTTGGTGCTTACGTTAAGTAACTCTTAGTTTAGAGATGGTTTTAGGGGGAAGTGAAAACGGTCATTATAGTAACACATTTTTCTGACTTTGTTTAGTTTTAAAAATGAGGTTTTTAATGTCCAAAATTATCATTTATAATTGAGCACAGAGTCGAGAATTGTGTGTCGTGTTAAAATAAATTATAACCGGGTGATTCTGAAGAAAAAAAACAAAAAATTAATGGCGTCATTATCCTAAAGCCAAAGTTAACAATTCTGCTGATTAAAATACAAAGTTTAGTTTCAAAAAATTGAGCCATGTCACTGCTATCACCCAATCCAATAAAATACAGATG